TTGACCTTTAATAATGTGTGGATGTACCCTGACGTGCTACGCATTCTCCAATGCGCCTAGGCGTGCTTCTGATCAGGTGGTCAATGTCCTCCTGTGGTATCTCATTCCAGGCAACCACCAACTCCTCTCGAAGTGCTTCTAGAGTCTGAGGAGGACGTTGCAAATTGCGCAATCTCCTACCCATCATATCCCACACGTGCTCAATTGGGGATAAGTCGGGAGATCTTGGTGGCCATGGTAACGATGTGACATCATTATGTTGAAAGAAGTCTATTGTGACTCTTGCAACATGTGGCCGGGCATTATCTTGTTGGAAAGTTGGATCTGCCAGGGTGTCAAGGTAGGGTAAAAGATGGGGTTCTAGAACTTCGTGGATATAACTCTGCGCGTTCATGTTACCTCTGATGAAGATTAAAGGTGACCTGGAACCATAAGCTATAGCACCCCAAACCATAACTCCAACAGTGTGATGAACATGTCTTTCAACAAAAAACTGTGGATTCCTCCTTTCACCACGTCGCCTTCTAACCCTGGCACGACCATCGTGCATGCCTAAACAAAATCGAGACTCATCACTAAAGACAATACTGTTCACGGTCTGTTGTTCTACGGCGGCATCCAGTGCCCCTTGCTCTTTGCGTACGGCCTTCTCGAAGCCATGCCTGACAACACCTAACCACAGTGTCTACACTTCTTTGCACTCTAACTGCAATTGCCCGAAAAGAAAGTCCAGCTTCCCGAAGTCCCACTATACGGCCCCTATCAAACTCACTAAGTTGACGAAATCGTACAGGTCTCCGTACTCTAGGCATCGTAACCGATCGTAAAGGATGTCAAGAACCAAAATCCGCCAACGTTGATTCTTTACTGCGGCTGAAATATTCATTTTTAGAGCGTTAGTGAATTAAAAAAAAGCAGTATAAAAACCGGAATGCCCAACTGATAAGGCTGAACATTTTTTCACTTGTTATTTACAGTAAGATAAATACATTCACCAACTTTTATTAAAATAAAACCATTTAAACTGGGTGTTCGGATTTATATGTCATTTAGTGTATTTTGTCCTCAAGTGTGAATATTCCCTACAGATTTCTTAGTTGTTTGGTAGGATAACATCCAAATCACACTTCTTCCAATGCAACTTCTATCAGGTTTTGAAAATATCCTTGTACTTCATCGGTCAATAATAGCGCAAGCTCTTGCACTATATATTACAAAACGAATTACTATTAGGCAACACACTTCACAGGACGACATAATGGGTGACCTTCCAATAACTCTTAATGTCACACTTATCAGTGGAAAAAAAGATGAAATCTAGAAGGAATTTTCAATAGTTGATAGTTTCAAAATCTCCAAATTTCTACCAAAAACAATCAACGTTTAATTAAAAAAACCTTTCAAAAAGATTTGCCATTTAATAATGAAATAATTCCGTCCTAATCGAACCTCATCAGTCCAGTTTTTATTCGTCGACTATGTGTTCCCTTCACTGTTGTTTAAAAACAATTTCAGCAACAATCTCGCCGACTTAGTAAGTAAATATTTTTCTACTAATTATTTGTTGCTATTGTCAATAATTGTTTCCAGCTCCAGACGATGAATACATAGATCTTCGAAAGCTTGAGAGTTCAAGTTATAAGTGTGTACTTTTGCAATAATTTGCCTTCTACCCAAAGAAATTAAAGGATATCTTCTCCAACAGTTAAGGCAATTAACTATGAATATATATATATAATATATATAGTATATATGCAAGTATAACGTTATAATTATAATATTAAAAAAACAATACCTGAATTGACAGATGTTTACGTAAACATGGGGGGAGGGGGTAATAGCTTTGCTTACTTTTGCTGACTGGAGGATGGGGGGTAAATAATTGTAATAAATCTGCTTACGTAATACTTGACCGGCCCCTAAAAGTTAGCTAAATTAAATTATCGTCCACATTTGTCGGTAAATGGTCATAAAGAGCGGTACTTGTAGGTGGTAAGGACTCTATTGCGTTTCTTACGTTTAACGCATCACAACAACGAATGTGACATTATACACTCATGTTATCCTATATGGATTAAAATAGTTTTAATAATAAAATGAATAATAAAATACAACCTCAATTTCTTTTACCGCCCTCCAAAGTTGAGTGATGGAAGAGATTTTTCACAAAAAAATGAATTTAAGATTTTTTGGGTTGATTTCTAATTAGCTCTGGTAAAAAGTGACATAAAACTAACCACTTAGCTCATCTCAGAAAAATAATCACAGCCCTAAACCTAATGGTTCAGTTGTAATTGCGATTGAAAGTTGATTATGCTGTTTTTTTATCCTGAACTATAAAATTTCGGACCACACATATAGGTTTTGAGGCACTCTATCACCTGACTTCCATTGATCCACTAACTGAAACTATTTTATTATATTTTAAATTCCTTTTTGTTTTATGTGAGTTTATTTGACCTTAAAAGAGTTCAAACGGAGATAATGACTACTGTTAAACTTTTCAATTTCGGCATTTTTATTCGATGTTTACCCCTAAATGAATAGAAAGTCTGGGTATCATCCGCAAAAAATTGTAAAAGGTTATGTAAGTGGTAGTCGTCACTTTGTCGTTAAAAATACCTAAATACGATTCTGGACTGTCCGTGATTTATGAAGGTCCGTAGCGCCGGTATACACAAGTATTTCGAGTGCAACGTCGAGTGATAAAATATGCCTCTAGGATGATAAATGGAAATACCAATTTGTCACTCTAAACATGCAGTCGTCGTTAATATTCAAGCTGGGAACACGGTTGTACACAGGTTCGGAATGTCCGATGCCCGCCGACGAATCAGCTTTCAGCTGTCGCTACGATTTCTCAAACAGCGATCTCTAAAAGTTCAAGCTCAAAGATTGATCGGTAGCAGGGCAGATCTGGCTTCAGGACAACTAGCTTGAAAAATAATCTGTTCATGATGGACTCCATTCCTTGGCATCACGTCTATACTGTACAAAGTATCGATGAAAAAGTAAGATTATTGACTGACTATGTTACATTATTGTTCGACAGTCATGCTCTTAAAATTACAGTCAGAGTTATCAGGCCGCCAGCTTAAAGATAAATCCAATCTACTAAATTTTTTTCTAAGGTGAGTGACGAAATCATTTTTGGTACCTATGAGTACTAGAAATATTAGAAATCGCTAAAAAGTTTCTCTTTACTGAATTAGAAAATATTATGGCCTATCTCAAAGTATAGAGGTAATATTCATTATATTATAGATTTACTTCTTATGATTGATTCCGTCAATTGGTCACAAAGTACAGGATGTTAGTTTTATACATATACAGAAAACTAACACCCTGTATTTTGTGACCGGAACGAATTGCTCGTTTAAACATATTAGATTTAAAGCCATAGGGTTTTGTATTTACCATATATATATTGCCATATTTTGTATTTATGTAGCTTAATAAGAGAATCTTTAGCAGAAGTCATAGAAAGTTTTTATTTTTAGGCAACCTGTAAACCTGCAGAAAAAACACAAATTATACAGTCAGCTTCAAATATTAGAAAAGAGGAAGAAGATAAAATAAAACCCGGTAATGAATCACAACAGCAATGCGAAATTAATGAAAATACAGATAAACAGAGAGCAAAACCTTCTCAGGATGCTATGAAAAATAAGATTGCTCTACTCGAAAAAAATCTGAATGCTTTGTATTCTGCCAGAGATACTATGCCAAGCCGTGCTGAAGTTGATAAACAGATCACTAAGTTGCGCGAGGAAATAGAAACAGCAAAACAGTCTTTAAACAGGAAGGTTCAAAACGCAGTTGCCCAGAAGATACACAGGGATGGTATGAAAAGAAAGTTAGAAGATATTTGTCATGAAAATCCAGAAATCAGTGGGACGTCCTAATCTTGAAAGCAATCAGCATTCACTATTGAAAACAATCGCGGATATAGCTCTATTTGGGAGTGCAGCAGAAGATAGAAGACGAATGGAATCAATTCGCAGCGTAAAAACTCTTGATAAACTCACACAAGAATTACGTAAAATAGGATTTGACATTAGTCGCAGTGGGACATACATATCTTCGTTTGATTCCCAGAAAATCTAATTCTGCATAGGGACGAAGACATGTATCGACCGTGCCTGTTAAGCTCATTCGGGCTCAAACTGATCACCACAAGAGCCACTTAGATAGCAAGTCCGCTGAAACATCAATCCATTATTTAGAGAACATATCATCCATACTTGAACCAGATCAAGTATTTTTCATATCTCAAGATGACAAAGCTCGAGTCCCTATTGGCGTAACTGCGGCAAATAAGCAAGCACGTCTTCTAAGCAAACAAAGAAACAAATAGTAGCTTTCTTTGTCTTCCAGAAATGTTTTGTAACGCCTTGCCAACAGGGAAGTTGAACTGCAAAATTAGGCAACCAGAGTTGCACCATCATGTAACGCAGCTTGCGAAGCTTCGAGAGCGATTGCGCTCACGTGCGTGAGCGTTCTCAGTTGCCAATTAGTGATCTAAAATAATTAAGTAACGCTTACAAAATAATCGTTACAAATGAGTAACTAAATGTAACGAGTCCTACTTTTTGAAAAGACTCGTTACTTTTTATTTGAATTCGTTACTTTGAATGCGATACGGTCTTTTTCTATGTATACTTTTTAATTACTGTTAGTTACTACACTATACATTACTTTAGAAACAAACGTTACTGGGATCTAATGTAGCCAGTACTGCCAGCGCCAGCAGCAAGTGACTTGGTTCTTGGATGTAAACTGGGTGGAAATGAAATGATGCGAATATCGTTAGGCTTAGGCAACTTTAGATACTCTTCTATCAAACGAGTTGCGAACTGCGGAGCTTTAGGTTGGCAATGTTTGTGTACACCTGTATACTTTTCATTTGACTGTGAGAGCTAGCGGTTGGCGGGTTGTTACTGGTTTGGACGTTGCCGTACAAGCTCGAGCAATAATATAATTATTATTTGTACAAAAATATGGAATCATCCGCGTCCGGTTCAGGAGAATCGCAAAATCAAAAAAGAAGTGTTATTTGGATGCATTTCACCAATATATCGGAAGCTAATGCAAAGTCTAATCTTTGTAAAAGTATTTATTCGCATAAAAATGGAAACATTAGCAATTTAAGGAAGCATTTGAAAACTAAACATCCGACTCTTTCATTGGAAGGAGAAAGGGCAAAACGGCGGGTGGAAGACGAAAATATGCCTAGGTGCAAAAAGAACTTAGTTTCAGGTATGTTTTATTATTATAAGTATTTTGTTGAACACCATTTACAGTGGAGTAACCAGACTGTTAAGTAGGGCAGGGGAGTAACCAGACTGTGAAGGCAGGAGACGCTACTCAACTAAAGTGAACAGTGAGGAGAGTGGTTCCTCCACGGTCCCCATCTGGTATGCCACTTGTTAAAAACTATTTACAGCGTACAGCCAACGAACCAGACGTCACACAACGACGAGTTTAAAATATAAGTACCTTCTACGTATCAAATATCAAAAAAATTAATAGGCAAGACATTAGACAAAAAATAATAATTGGATCAATCCCAAAGTAATAATTTGATATAATATATAGAATTTAGGTTCTAAACGAAATGTCCAAATAGTAACTAAACTAACGAGTCCAAAGTTCGAAAGTAACGAGTCCTTACAAGTCCTAAAAAGTAACGAAACTTTGCATCACTATTGCCAATGACAGCATTCGAGAAATACCGCGCATAGTCCAGTCGATATGGTGATAAATATGTCATAAATTAGTTAAAGGGCTATAAATTGAAGTAGACTAATAAACTAGACTTTGGACAGTAAAAACGGTGTTTCGTTACAGTACATACATGCAAGCGTATGTACGAAGAGGTTGAGACAAATACCTTTTGTATGACTTTATGATTTTAATGTGTATGCAACTGTGGGACAATCTCACACTTCGGGCAGGAAAGGCTGATTAGAGAGAATCGATCGAGCTTTCTTGCCTTAGAGTAGCTATGAAAACTTTACCCTGTATTTCAAATAAGTTCACTTAAAAGCCTCTGGTGAAATCGGAACTTGACTGGGTATGACCGCTTAAGATAAATTCCTTTTATTATTATTATTATACCGTGAAGCTCTACAGTTCTACATATCAAACTTTAAAAAATAAACCACAATCTCATTCATGTTTCGACGGTAAAAGTATGTAATGCTATGTTAAATAAAACAAAAAGTAATCGGAATTGCATAGGCAAAAAGCACAGGTCATATACAAATACCTCTGGTTTTGCCATCAAGCAGGAGATCGGAACCCGGGACGATGCGGCATATGCCTCAACTTTGAGCTTTTATTTATTTCATTTCACTTCTAGTTCCAATCTACAGTTTGGCTAACAGAATTGTATACCTAACAACAACATGCAGAATACTGGAGACGACCAAATTTCTTGATGGACACTGAAAAGGGTGAACCGAAACATTAATCTAACTAAGCTGAAATTTAACTTTATCCACTTTAATTTCGAATCTAAAAGTTCTTTGGAAAGGTGCTTTCGCGATATAACTAATAATTTTACGATCTCATTTTACTCCCACGAGATTCTGTGGAAGAAGCTCAATACGCCCATAAAAACAAAGAATATCAAATTAATGAGAATACTTCTAAATCGTTTTACTGCATTAATATAGCGACAACGATATAATATTCGTCATTTGTGTTGTAAAACTGGTGTCAAGTAGACTAAATATATGAGCCTACGCTGAAAACTTAGCTACACTAAACTTAGCTGTATCTGGTAGATTTGGAACCAACACTTGTAAGATAGATTGGTTAAGGCTTTCACGGCCAGTTGATAAACTGCTGTCTTGATTCGGGTCTAAAAGCCGTCGTCGGTTGGAATTTCTTCCTAACGTTTCGCTAGCACGATTGGCAAGCTTCTTCAGAGATCCTACCATTTCCGATGCTGGAAGTAGATTGACGATTCCTCTTGCGCAGGTTGTATTTATACCGGAGGGTAGGGGACGTGGCTTGTTCCGCTTCGGTTGACTTCGTGATGACGATCGGCACTACGCGAGCGTTTCCGAGGATCGGGTAGAGTCTGAGGGTCTCTTCCTTCCTGTTGAAGTTATCTGGATGTTTGTGAATCTCGATAGCTTCCCTGATCAGTCTATTGTGATAGCCGTTGACTGATGACAGCAACCTGCAGCTCCCAAAGTGTACCCTGTGGTCCCCATTGCTTAGTGCGTGTTCAACTATTGCAGACTTCTCAGTTTGTCCTAGCCGGCAATTTGCTTCGTGCTCCTTGAGACCTGATCTCAGGATCACAGGTCCAAAACGTGAAATTAGGCGGTCACCAGACGTGTCTTTCAATAAATCGGTTCTAGCACGAGCTGTGTGGCATGTTGCGCCGTCTTGTTGGAACCACAGCTCCTGGACATCATGATTGTTCAATTCAGGAATGAAAAAGTTAGTAATCATGGCTCTACAGGGTTATCCAAATTAAGTGTCCACCATTAGTAACTTTGTTATTAGTGAAAATACAAAGTTGTTTGAATTAGCAAATTAGTAGCATTTTTAACGCTGGTAAAAATGAGAAATAAAAAAAAAACAATTGAGAGTCGTTATTTTGATTTTTTTTAGTAAAATAACATTTTTTTAAATGGAAACCCCTGTATATTATATTTTTTTCTGTTAAAGCATCAAATTTTAAACAAAAAAGCTTACAATAACTTTTCTCCTAGGTTACAAATTGTTGAAGTTATGGCCTCCAATCTGAAACAATTAAATTGTATCGACAAACTTTATTTTCAACATCAACTTATAATCTTACAAAATACAATAACAATTTTTTTTAAAGAAGATGCTCGAAAACACCACCTTGTTCTTCAATACATTTTTGGGCACGTTTTTCAACTGCTCGAACTGTCTTAAGTATGGTCCTACCATCTATCTGGGTTATCTTTTCCCTAACTGCAGTCTTTAACGCGTCAAGGTTATCGTACCTTCGCTTGTAAATTTGGTTCTTTAAGTAACACGACAAGAAGTAATCAAGTGGGTTTAGATCTGGTGATCTGGGAGGCCACTGTATTGGGCCATTTGTTCCTATCCACTGATCATTAAAAGTAGTACTTAGTAGAAAATGATAAGTACCTCTGGAGTTGTGGGCAGGTGCGCCATCTTGCTGAAAATGCAGATGATGTCTACTTATAAGATCCAATTCGTCTAAGAAATTAGTCAGAATTTCTGACATAAATTCCACATATCTTTCACCAGTTAGGGTTCCCTCATAAAAGAACGGGCCAACAATTTTTGAACCAATTATACCGCACCAAACGTTGAAACTGAAACGGACTTGTGGGCCTCTTGGATGCACTAACAAAAGATTTTCTCTTGACCAATAATGGTGGTTTTTTCTATTAAACATTCCAGAATTTGAAAAATTTGATTCATCTGTCCATAAAAGGTAACGAAAGTTATTTACATTTTGGCGACAGAAGCTAAGATACCAATGGCAAAAAACAAGTCTTCTCTCTGGATCCCCTGCCAAAAGCGTTTGAACTGGTCGGTACTTATACGGAATAAATTTGTATTTTTTTAAAATCCTTTGAACAGTACCATAACTGAAATTAGAGTCCTTGAGAATATCTGCTATTGAATTCTCACGATAAGCTTCAAAATATCCAATAACTGCAATTTCCGTGGCCTCGCTTATTATGAATTCTTTTTTTGCCCTTGTTTTAGCAAAAACATTTTCGTTGCCCCTAAATTTTCGATAAAGTCTTAGAAAATATCGTTCATACGGTTGAATGCGAGCGGGATATAATTCACTGTAGTATTCTCTTGCTCTCAAGGAGGATTTTCTGCACACTAAATAGCATTCTAACATATCACACTTTTCTTCATGGGAGAACATTTTTTTTTAAATTAATGACACAATAAAGCTTATAAACAAGTATTTACACTAATGTTTGACATTATTTGATTTTATCATTGATTTCCAAAGCCTTCTAGTTGCGAGTATGTCCAGTTTAACAATTTGTCGCTTATCTTAATGCTGTCAAATCGCGAACGCCATGTTGTTTTCATAGCCGTCTTAATATTATAATACTGCAAATAATTAAAAATATTTATCGTTATTTTGACTTTATTTTTGACTTTAGCGGAAAAGTCATTATGAACTTTTTTGTTTAAAATTTGATGCTTTAACAGAAAAAATATAATATACAGGGGTTTCCATTTAAAAAAATGTCATTTTACTGAAAAAAATCAAAATAACGACTCTCAATTGTTTTTTTTTATTTCTCATTTTTACCAGCGTTAAAAATGCTACTAGTTTGCTAATTCAAACAACTTTGTATTTTCACTAATAACAAAGTTACTAATGGTGGACACTTAATTTGGATAACCCTGTATACCGATCACCATTGACCGTAACGTTCTGGCCATCATCGTTTTTGAAGAAGTACGGACCAATGATTCCACCAGCCCATAAAGCGCACCAAACAGTCAGTTTTTCTGGATGTAACGGTGTTTCGACATAGACTTGAGGATTAGTTTCACTCCAAATGCGGCAGTTTTGTTTGTCAACGTAACCATTCAACCAGAAGTGCGCTTCATCGCTAAACAAAATTCGCTTATGAAAATCGGGAACAACGGCAATCTCGTTTTGGGCCAGTTCAACGAATCTACGCCTTGCTTGATGATCGTTTGGCTTCAATTCTTGCACGAGTTGGATTTTGTAAGCACGCAAACCAAGATCCTTCCGCAAAATCTTCCATAAAGTGGATGGACACAGATCCAACTCCTGTGCTCGTTATCAATTAGAGTAAACGTGGTGCGAAAACGTTCCATGGTTAATCGAATTAACTGCTCTGATGGACGATTTTGTAGACGATACAATGGACGTAGTGCGCGGTACGTATTCCGCACAGCACCATTATTTTCGACATAAAACTGCAACAATTTGCAAGCGTTGTTCAGGCGTCAATGAATTGCCAAACCAAACTGAGAATAAATCACTTGACAGCTGTCAAATCGGTCGCCATCTACAAAAGTAATGCCAACTTAAAGTTCTATACCTCGAAAAAAAAAAACACCCGTTACTTCCAGCGAATAAAGAATTGAGAAAAGTGCACTTCTTTCTATAAAAATAATCATTTATTTTGTTGGATTATTCCAAGATCATTGAGGAAAATACGGACCTGTACAATCTCGCTTTTGGGCATGTTGTGTTTTGTCTGGGCGTGAATGGACTAAACATGGGGTAT